AAAGCTGTGGCACTACGCTGGCAGCTGAAGTGCCAGCACCACAAAAGGGAAGTGCAGAGGGAAGCTTAAGCCTCCTTAACTACCTCCTGTTTACCCTGGTTTTGGCCAGTAGTATCTCTCTATTTGGGCTTCCTAATCATCGATGTTGTGAGCAATCTTAAAGCTTTGTGCATGTTTTGCAAAATACTCTGGCAAACAGGCAAAAGGAAATAGAGCAAAGTCACTTTTGTGCCATCTTTAAAAAAATAAAAAAAAATAAAAAAAGTAAGCCTACAATATGTACATACAAAGACTCTAATTTATTATTTAATATTTTGTATTTACAAGAATGTTTTAGATGAAAATATATACTTGGTGTAAATGAATGTAAATTTTTTGAGGCCTTTGGCATCAGTTTTTAACAGTTTATATTTGACTTTTTCCTCTTGTAATATCCCTTTAGCAAGAAATAAGGCTTTTGGAGCTGGATTTGTTAAATTCAGCAGTGCATTCTGTGAAGTTTAAAACACACTGCTAAAGCAAGTACATACTCACATTACCAGTTAGGTCTRTTTGGATATTTAGGAATGTAATGACTCCAGCTGCAGATGCATTTTTGCTATCTGTGCATGTTCAAAACAAAAGAACTGCATTTACTTTTATGCATAGATGCATTCACATTTTTGCAAATATGGAAACTAGGGGTTCTGTGAAATACTGTATAAAATTTATATCAAATGAAAAAAACGGTTAAATCTGTCTAACTTGTGCAAATTTTTGCCTTTTTTCTTTAAATTTGATAATCATGAGGAAGATTGGTGGCTGAGTATGAACAGATACACTTTTGAATATGGGGAAAAGAATTCCAACTGTGACAAAACCAGTTCAATTCAAGTTTATTMTTAGATGCTTAAGTCAATACATGAATTCAACCTCAGTACATTAATTTGTGATACTTAAAAACAGTTAATGTGTTTTGTTTTATTTGTTGTTTTGTTGAGCAGATGGTAATGGTTTTGACACAATTCAGTTTTTTATTTTTCTTCTTTTCTTTTCTTGAAAAAGACAAGGCTCTTTTTCCCACTTTGTCACAGCTGGTTACCAATCAATCTCAATTCACGGTACAGTGATGATAGCACATGTTGTTCAGGGGCCAAATCTGATTGGGTTGCATTTTCAGCAGTGTTTCATATCAAAAAAAATTTGTGTCTGTATGGCAGTGACTGTCAGCACACTATTGTACAACTGTCATTAATCAAAACTAGCAACAATGAATGCATTCATATGTGCCAGAGACTGCCAGATTTCACTCAAAATCACCCAATTTCTATTAGAATTTCCTCACCAGCAGTGTTTTCTCATGTGCCTCTTGTTTCTCCCTTTCTTTTTTCCTTGCCAGTCCCCTGCCAGCCCCTTCCTTTTTGCTTAATAAAAGGCAGACCTGCTCTATTACTTGTAGAACAGAAATTATGTAACGTGGTGCCCCAAAGTGGCTGGTTTTTGTCTGGCACAGACTGACTGGCTGTTAAAAGATCTCTCCCAGCTCAATCTGATGGCTGAAGTGTAAGCTGAACGGAGAGGTTAAGCACCTTCGAATGTTTAACAAAGAGCAGTACTTAAAATCAATTAGATGGCCATAAACATTGAAACTGATGTCTGACACCTTATGGTTTTAGYTCAATGTTGCATTAATTGGCGAGGAGTCAGCAATATTTGGGCAGTATGTCACAAGTTGTTTCTTGACACTGCACACATTTTGAAGACATTGCCTTCTTCATATGCTGGCAATGTAAAGGAGAAAYTTAACCACTACACTGGTCTTCTGCCATTCCATCTTTAATCCAGGAGCCTGGGAACCTCTGTCTGTGATGGGTATTAGTAGAGAGGCCCTGATCCTCATTCCCAAGTGTTCAGTAGCATTAATCCAGATGAGAATGAACTTCCACAGCCAATGAGGTGAAAATGTCTTGCTATGGGATAATAGGCTCTATGACAGAGAGGAGACAAGACACTGTTCAAGACTGAGCAGGTGGATGCTTAAGAAATTGAAAGGTTGCTCAGTCCTTGCTSCTTGTTATTTTGGGCTGCTGTGAGCCAGGCTAAAAGCCAGTTTTCCTCCTGTCTCCTTGCTGCCTGCTTCATCTGCCAGAGCTCTTCACTGAACTGCGGTGACTTCTGGGGATAGTGCGGGTGGAACAGATGACTGAGGGGCAGCGTATCAATACTGCAGGACAGCAGATGGTTCTGATGCCCCGTGGGTCCCTCTGTGTATGAACCTGATTGCTGGATGGCACGTTCTGTTAGGGTGGTCCAGAAGTATTCTCTTCTGCTGGAGAAGCAGGCTGGGAGWGCTGAACCTGTCCTTGAAGCAATCAGTAACTGGAGCGGTGACATGTTTACRCCACCCTCCGTTCAGTGACCCACGTGGGAGCTGGTGGCCGTACCCAGCGCCCTGCGTCCTGGCATGCCATGCAGCTGGCTCCTGCACCCAGCAGCCTTGGCACAGTGTGTGGGATTGGCAGGTGCAGGGAGAAAGGCTGCCGGAGCCTCCCAGGCAGCTGGCTGGCATGCCRGCACCAGCACAGCCGTGACAGGAAGCAGAGCGAGTCAGCTGCAGCCCACAGCACGCTGGAGCTCCCTGTCCCAGCCTGCCTCCCAGAGCATCCCAGTTCSACCAGCCCCTCACTCAGGTACAGCCCTGCTGCCTGGCTGTGAACCACAGGGATGTTAGTTGTTCTGTGAAAAGAAAATCCCAATAAATTAAATAAATGGCTAATTGTTTGCCCAGCTTTATAGCTCTGATTCCTATACCAAATTCATATTTGTATTATAAGTGATCTTAGTTTTCTCATCTTACAGGAGCTGAATACAAATTTATGTTTTTACTCTCCTAGAGCTGGCCTCCTGTCAAGAAAATAAGCATTTTCTCTTGTTTGCAACTCTGCGGTTGCCAAAGACAAATAACTACTCCAGCATTGTGGGATAATGTTGTCATATTCTTGAGATTTTTAAGGGGGACAATTTGCCTTTTCTCTCATGAAAACAGTGATTTTTATTTCCCATTGACTAATGCAGAACAGCATGCAAAATGCAATAATTGGTGAGCAGTCTAGAAGAAATGTTCTTTAACTGCATGTGGCTATCGAATGGAGTTGTAATACAACTGTACTGCTCCAGAATCTGCATATTAACATTATAATTACCTGCCCCCCCATCACCACCAATGGTACCATGCTGGCAAAAAAAAAAACCCTTATGAGTTTCTAAAGTTTGCCATGGCATCTGCTTATTCTTTCYCTTGGCATATCTCTTATTAATTAGTTCAACCTGATATGCATACAGTTAAGTGTGACTCSTAAGGAAATGGGTATTCTATGTGTTTATGTCAAGTCTCACGAATGATTGGCCTCAAATTCATTTTTTTTGTTAAATTATTTCTTGYCAGTTAATAGAATGGACCTACTGAACACAGAAAGAGGTTGTATTGTGGTGAGTGTGAAAAGGTGCCTTGGCTGCTCTTTGTTCTTGGAATTGCTAGTAATGCTCTAACTGATGTGAGCTGTACTTAGACCTAACAGAACGTTAAATGTTTAAACATAGGGGATCCTTTGAGTTTAGATGCTTTGAAGTCTGTTAGCACCCAGTGCTCTCTCTACAAACCTATACTAAAGGAACCAATAGCAATGTGCATTATGTACACAAAGAARTTAGGCTTCACATTTCCAAAACATCCAAAAATGCTCATGGAGCCTGACAACATTCTTSCTGACTTGTTGCATTACATCCTTACTCATCCAAACATTTAAGGGTGTTCTCCAATATGATTTCAGTACGTTTGCTGAAGTCTATAAGACCTTAACTGCATAAGAAAGAGAAGGTAAATTAGTCCTTCTGAAATTATGTCATGACTGTTTATACAGTGAGAAATAGTACTGACACCTCCTGAAGTCTTCTCCTGTCTTTAGTTTCGTGTTCTTGTTTCACTGATACACGAGAATCTGAAGGCAAGTCTGATTCAAAGTAATTTGATGTGTTGTAGTGAGAAGAATTGTTGTTGAAAATAATTTAACAAAATAGTATTTAAAGGGTAAAGTATCTGTGCTGAAAACCAGTGTTTTCCTGGTTTGGGAACCRAAGACATTTCTCACAACGTGAGGTCTCCTGTTGACTTTAATGAGCTTTGGACCACAGCCTAAAATACTTTGTTAAGCGTGACTTCTGCACAATGATAACACTTTAACTGAAAATGTTTTTCTGGGTATAATCAATCTAAATGCCTTGAGAATAAATGTTCGCTTCCTGTTAGAATATGTTGTATTAATTTAAGTTTTATATAGCCTCATAGTTTTAGAATTATTTCAACAGTAGAAACAAAGAAATGGACAAAGCACAATTGAATTGTTTCCAATTTCTTTTAAGAAAGAGAAAATGTTACTGTCCACCCTTAATGAATCATTTTGTTGTATTTCTGTGAAACTGATAAATCTGCTTTAATGTGCCTCTTCAATAAATGTCACTTTCCAGAGCCTGAATRTATTTTTTATTGTTTTCAGTTGGGTAGTGTGAGATCCTACCAACATGCTAACAGTTCCCTAGGGAATTGCTGCTGTAGGGAAAATCTGTATATAAAGGGAAATTTCCCAATCAGCAAAAGGTAAAATGTGTAGCTCACTTAGTTAAAGGCAAGATAAACCTGAGCTGTCATGTATTGATAACTGATGTCTGATACCTTAATTTTATCTTATTGCTCTAGATCAAGGACAAAGTGAATGATATTAATAATAAAGCCCTAATACTGAGTGAACAGAGCAATACTAATTTTATGTAAAGTTTCTAACTAATGCAGAGTGCAATAAAAATGTCACGAAGATTAATGCTCGGTGGAATTATCTAATGCTAGATAATAATTTATCTTCCAGAGTTGGCTTCAAGATAGATTCAGACTGGCATTTTCCAGGTGATGGCTTTTGTCCGTTTCTGCTGTCCACAAAAAGAGTTTTCATTCTCTTGCTGTGACACAGGTATGACATCAAAGAYGACTACACTCTGCGCATTAAGAAAGCCATGAGTACGGATGAAGGAACCTACACCTGCATYGCTGAGAATCGAGTTGGCAAAGTGGAAGCCTCTGCTACGCTGACGGTGCGAGGTGAGTGTTCCYGGCGGGCAGGGCCTGTGTCCTCTGTGGATAATTGCTTCCTGAGGAGATGGGCACACCCTTCCCTGCCATGGCTTGGGTTCCATGCACCCTGTGCAGTGGTGGGTGCTGCACTGATTTACAGCCTAGGTGAAATCCAGGTCCCATTGATATCTCAGGCAAAATTTTAATTGGTTTCAGTGGGATAGAATCTCCCTGCCGTCAGAGTCCTGTCCCAGTGTGTTTTTATTGAAGAGCAGATACATATACATGCATAARCAAGCACTACATAACTGTGGGCATACACATTAATATGTGAGCCATGACTTGAGGCTGTTAGTCACATTTCTTTCTCTATAAAGTACAAGGAGTAGAGTAGCTATATTTATTAATGACAAACATAATACAGATAAATTATTATATGATTAGCTCTGCCATAATTGAACTCTCTACCACTACCCTTTATCTGAAAAATAAACCATAGCTGAAGGAAAGAGAAAATCCTAATTAAATTTTGTAAATATTACAAGGCAAAGACTAATACACTCTCTCCTAAAATCTGTGCAGTCTCTAGTATCCACTCACTGTTTATGTGCTGCTGTTTAATTTGGTAAGGAGGTTTTAAGGCTGGTGGAATAATGAGTTGCCAAAATACCTTTTGTGACAGTAGATACAGACATGCTAGAGCYTATGGAGAGAGAAAAAGTTTGTAAGCTAATATTTCTATATGAGTAAATAGAATATAATAGTTATTACTTCATTCCAAAAGATAAGCAGCAATTTGGCWCAATGGATATCATGCAGACACTATTTCACAGTTTAGTGGTGCATGCTGACGGTTTTCAGTAGAGCTGTGAAAGGTTAATAAAAACATTTTTAGCTTTATCTGTCCTCCTCTTTTCATACACATTAAATCAAATGTTCAAAGTCTCGGTGGATTGCTTTATTAGAACTGGGGTCAACTGACCCAAGAGGCCAGCTTCCATTTCCATCCATTTAATGCATGGACACAGTTCAGTTTAATTTGCTGAATTCAAAGGGAAAAAAACCAAACCAGCACTGAGTGGCTTTGTAGGGGGAGAGATGTTAGTATGTAACAAAGAGAGCATTGCAATAATCTGTTAAAATATTACCTCAGTGCTCACTTTAGACTGTAAGTGACAATAGGACTCTTCCCATTTTAAGTTGAAGAAATAGGTTTACCTGCACTGTGCCTGTGTAAGAGATTGTTCTTCCCATTTGTGACTTGGGCAAATTAGTCCCCACAGCCAAATCCCAGAAACACCTTCACTCTGTTGCTTTGTCACAGGCAGGATCACAATACTCAGTAATTCTGGTAACCAATTCACTGGCCTGTGAACACTCCTAGAGCTGTGTCCACTGTATGCATTACCGGAGCAAGCCTTTCAGATTTTCTACYCTGACTTGTAATGCAAACAATAGCTGGAATGGAGAAAAAAAATCCTTTGAAATCACCGAAGCTTGAACCCARTGAAATTAAAGGGAAAAAAAAAACTCAAGGAAATATGTGATTTAATCAATTTTCCCCCCATAAAAGCATGTTTTCATTTTCTTGTGTATTTTTCCCCCGGGTTTGTCATTTACAGTAAAATATGTAATGTTTATTCAACACAAAAGAAGCTGTGATATTAGAAACATATTACATGTTCAGGATATGACAGATAATGAGAAAAACCAAGAAATTCAGTGGAGAAAGCTCTTAYTCTGAATTTTGTGAAAACAAAGGACTGGGAAATCTCCCGTTGACTTTAAAGGGATGATGAACAATGGGCTTTTTAATTAAAGAAAGCCTTAATTMTGAATTCTTAATTAGCAGTGTTGTCTGACACTGTTTTTACTATAACTACTTGTGATGTAGAGGAGCAAAACTACTTAGCATTTCAAAATTTACCTTGAGCWTGCCTTGGATCTTGCAGGTGTCATGTGGTCGCATGTGCCCACCTGACAACAACCATGTAATCCTCCTTATCTCCCTCATTCACAGCTCCATCTTCTTAAACCAGAGGATGGGGATGCAGTCAGGAAATTTGCAGTACACTGTCACAAGCAACACCAGAATCTGAGTGCTGTGACCCAGACTCCATACCCTCTCTTGGAAAGATGTCACTCTTACACCTCATCTTTCTGCAGAAGAAGGAATATTTTCATAATACTGGAAGCCTAAAAGTATTGCARCAGATGATGGGAGAGAATGGCAGCAGCCTAGGCACAGTTAAAGGAAATGAGGACAGAGCCATGGAAAGGTTGAGAACTAAGAACTTGCAAGCTCTGTTACCTCCAAATTTGGATGTCTTAARTTTGACCCTAGCCTGCACATAGGCACACAGGGGTGGTAATCTCCTTGAAAAAAGGAAAAAAAAAAACCCCAAAAAAATAACAAAAAGAATTCTGCTGTTGCTCATAAATGTGTAACTATTGCTGCCGATATCTGTGTTTGCCCACGCAGATACTACCCGAATTCAATTTTATGTCTAAATTTTCAGCTCTTCTGAAAGGGATGTCTGTATTTTATTAGCAGAGGGACTGACAGCCCTCTTCTTCAGCACAAGTATAATGAAGGGCTGTTGCTATAACCAAGAAATCACTTGTTGCAGCGGCAACTTTCAATCTCTGCATCAGCCTGGAACAGTATTAACCTGTCGATCATTTACCAGCAATTTTTTAGGAAGTAGAAGTTATCTAAGCTGTGATTTGGGAGGTTCTGGGTTGAAGTCCCTGTGGCCATTTCAGCCCATTTGTTATATTTTCATCAGCACTGTCAGTGAGGAAAAAGCACTGTGCTGTAAGCTTTCATGCCCATTATTGAATAAGAAAAACTGTCCTGGGCTTTCTGCAGCCCTTATTGCTGTACTGACTGGTCATGCTTAAAATTCAATTGGTGTTTGACTCAGAAAGCAAATGCCTTGCATKACATTAGGCAGTGTGAGGCTTAAATTGATGTGTTCATTGGGAGCTAAAAGTTTGTGCTAATACAATGCAATTTTTCTTTTATCAGGCATTAACAATGATACTTGATGATGGCATGCGAAGATAATAAAAATGTTTCTCAGAGAATGGTTCCAGTCAGCTTGTTCAGATGCTATGCTCAAGTAAATGGGATGATAGTGGCACGTGAATAAACAGTAACTAAAAGATAACAGCACTGAACATTTGGCTTAGACTGGTCATTTGAGGGGTTAGCAATCATGGTAGTATCCGTAGTGGAAGGTAACATTACACGTCATGCATTCTGACAGATATTCTTTTCTTTTTTTAATTTCTTTTTTATGTTCTCACTACACCATTGTAATGTCAACAGCTCGCCCCGTTGGTAAGTAACCATCCTTCTATCCATTTTAGCATGGCTTCATGCAGTGCTTCATCTTTCATTTGCAACAGCATTTCACTGGCTGGAATGAGCAGCCAGCGCTTGATAGTTGTACCTGTCTAACACCAGGCGAGTGGTTTTGTCTGACAAAGTGCTATTTCCAAATGTTGTATTTCCTGCTGTGTCATGTACAAGCGCATTTGCCGAATCACCAACAACTACCAATCAGCGAAACGGGGTGGGTATGGTGATACCGAGCCAAAAACTGCTCATTTAGATGTTTTTATTGGTCTGTTTATGGGCCTGGTGTAAAAGCCATTGAAATCAGCAGAAATGATTGTATTGACTTTGGTGAGCTTCTACCAGGCCCTAAACAATCAGCTCATCCTGCTTTTCCTGCACTGCAGTAAAAGCATCGGCTTTGCATGCCCCGTCTTTGTTGTATCGTTCAAAGATGAAATGAAGATGTCCTGAAACTGATGAGGGGATGGAGTAGATTTCTGTGCTTGCTGAGGAAGTTCATCACTGGTTTTTGCCTTTGGGTCATCTTGGAGTGCAGTTTGGAATGTATAGGATGCAGACTGTTTTGAATAACAAGTCATGAGGAAGACAATCTCTAGGTTTCTAATTCCCACATTGAAAATGTTATTATTCCCTATGCCTTTGAAATTCTGCAAATGCATTAAAATCTTACAGAGGATAATGCAAAATTTGCAGTGGTCAGTAGCTGAAATTCACTACTGGTGTTCAGAAATATTCTGAACATACGATTCAATTTTCTTTCATGAATATTTCTCTGTGCCTACATAGATTTAGTTTAATGAGCTGTATTGCTCCTCTGATATTTGTAGTTTGTATTTAAATGTATCTTTTGGAATAATAATATGGTTATTCTAATTTTTTTGGATTAGTGTAAAACAGTACTGGTGTTTATGGAGATTGTTGAGGAGTTTGGTCTTTACTTGCTTCATCAAAACTTTTGTTAGATATGTGTTTGACTAAAATTTGTGAGTTCAAATTCATCTCAGCTTTTCACTGTTCTAAGTCTGGAGGAAGAGAGGTTGGAGTGATTTAGAGGTACAATCCAGATTAGGTCTCTGTTTCCAGAACTGAGGTACTCCCATCTTATTAACTTGCCTGAACCAGCATCCATGGAGCCAAGCCAAATACCTCTGCAGTCACAGCATGGCTTATTTACCCCTGGAGAATTCCCTGTGCAGAATAGAAATTTACTCTTCTCCATCTGGGATTTTGATGGCAAGCTTTAAACCCAAATCACTACTGTATTACTTTGTCATTAGGCTGGTTCTCAAGTAATTCATTCCCAGAAATTGTAGAAGTGTAAAACTGCAGTAAACTCAGGAGAGAATTTCCCTTTGCTTAGAAAATGTAGTGTGAATTTAGTATATGTCTTCATTCACTAAGAAATGCCACAAGATTAGAAGTATTTTGCTTGTAGATAGTTTTCTCACTTTGCTGACTCTTAAAAGACAGGCAAGAAAAAGAATCATAAAGTAGAGGCTTACAAACTCTGTGAAAACTATATAAAATAAATGACTGGAGATTCACAAGAAAATGATAGGTTTCAGCAGTGTTGATGGTGTCTCATTTCACAGCACTGATTCTTTTTTAAGACTTTTCAGGCCATTGAGTCATCTCTGATTCCATCTCCAAAGCTTAGATGGAAGGTCTTGGTCTCAAATTGCTTTATGTCCAGGTATATGATTCTGTGGTCATGCTGTGGTCAGTTCTGTTCCTTGCCTGGGCTATTTTATTTTGTTTAAAGAGGACATCTTTGACAAAACAAATTCTTCTTTTACTTAATTCATTCAGGAAACTAAAATGAAAATGGTTGATCTTGAAATAATTACTATATGGTCTTTATCAAATCACTTAATTTAGGGATTATCTTTGTGACTTGTGAAAAGTTTGTTGAATAAATAAGTCTARCCCTGGAGATATTTGACATATAGAACTCCCATACAATTGTATGCCCTGATTGTTGTGTATGAGGAGATCAGAGTATATTAATCACTTTTATCTGACCCTGTACATGTAGAAAGTACAGTGATAGTATGTACCTGGATTGGCTTTTTTTCTTAAGTATCTGAAATCAAACTAATTTCTGCAGTTCGTAGCTCTGTTTCATTCAAGAGTAGGCAAAGACGGTGACTACCCATCCTGTTGTTTTTTTGGTTTTGGTTTTTTTTTTTTTTTTTAGCAAGTTAACTGGAATGCAGAACAGAAATACCTGTCCTTATCTAAAGGAAGCTATAGCAAACAGTACTTCATGTAATTAAGCTCACAGCTCTCTAGGAGGATGACATTTTAACAGAAGTACATTTATGTATTTATATATATGTTTAAGTGCAGGGGAGCRCTTAAAAGTTTATATTCTTTCATGGCATCAGAGAATTATCTAGGTACTCCTATCTTCTATCACTGCCTCAAATTCAAAGCAGACATGTTATTTCTTTACTGTCTTTTAAACAAAASCAAACAATTTCTTTTCCAATGAAGAATAGATAAATGTATTTTTAATGGTCCACATTTATATTTCCTGTTGCAAACAGAGTAAGCTTTCTTTTCTGATCAGTTTTTGCCTGCTTCAAATATTTCTATTCTCTTAGGTGTGGTATTTTTATTTAAATTTCAGGTTGAGTGGGAAATATAGGAGTGGGATTACCAATGACTRTCATGGGTTCAAGCAGTTATTAGCAAATGGTTCATACCACAGAGATAAAMTGAGGTATGGTGCTGCCCTGAGGTGGGTGGCAGCTGGTGAATTTAAAAGCTCTATGCCAGATTACTCACCATGTTTGAATTTGCTGCTAGGAATAAATGTGTTGCCTGTTTCTAAAATAGATTATTTATAACCTTTTGAAAAGATTTCTGATGGGATTTACAACAGATGGGTTTAGGAAACAAGATGTTTATCCCTATTTAGACCATTTCTATAGTTATTTCACTCATTAGATGGATATTCCAGATGAGCAAGTTAGAATTTTGTCATTTTTGCATTCTGCCATATTTCTTATGGCAGTTGGGCAGGAGCATGGCTGATGAAAGAAGCAYAATATTTGGGAAGAGCCCAAAAGTTTCAGTTGAACTGACCCTCATTTCAAAGGCAGTTGTTTGTGTGTGACCTTCAGATGGAAGATCTATGAGTATCTGTCTGATGTCCTAGTTACTTTTTTATTAGTAGTACAAAAAGTTCAGATGACAGAGTACTACTCAGTTTACAAATTAATTGCAACTAAGTCAAAGTGAAAATACAGTTCTTTGCATATCAGTTCCTTTGCAGTTAATTAAGTTTCCTTTGTTGTCATGTGCTGTGGCTCATCTTCCCAAAAAGAAGAGACTGGCAGCAAATACCTGTATGATTTTGCCACCTGGGTAGAAGTCAAGTATTTGAATTAAGCTAAGGGAGTAAAGGGAGATCAAGTTACAAAAACTTCACTTCCCTATCATGGTGGAGAAGAGGCAAACAGATAAGACGCCCACCACGAATTTTCCAAAYTTTTTATTAATTAAATGCAGTCTCRTTGCATTTAAGTGCAGTGTGACTGTATGATGCATTTCAATCTGCACTGGGAAGTTTTCATTATATAAATCAGCCTGGCATGACTTAATGGTCTATTAAGATGGTGCAGCATGAAAAACAATAGAAAGGGCTGTATTTTATAGAAATTAGTATTCAGTTTTGTGACTAGAAATTACATTGCTCACATGGTTCATATCGGTAAGAGAGAAAGAGTTCACTTTATTCTTCATCATTCTGACTYTTGCAGAGAAAATCTACATACGATTAATGCTTTTATTTTTATTACATGCATGAACATACCACCTTCACTTGAGACACTGAGGATTTATAAAATATCAGTACTAACTTGCATCAATAACGTGTGACGGTGGAGATGAGATCATGCTTGGCACCATAGTGCCATSTTTCAGTGGCAGGATCTCAAACCGATATCAAAATGTACCATCTTGCCTGTCTGATACCACTTTTAGAAATCTTCAGAAGAGGGAAATGACACCAGTGGGCATAAGATTTTTGGGATTTGTTGAATGAAAGAATGTGGTGTCATCATTTTTTTAAAAGTCAGCAAATTMTTCAGATTTAAAGATAAAATATTGCTGTAGAATGAAGTTCAGATTGCTTTGTATACCAATAAGAGATTAAAATACAGAGCTGACTTGTTATGATTTTTCATAGCCTATAAATGTCACTCTAAAAATCTTGAAGTCCTTAGCATGTCTACTTTGCCTAAAGTTCAGTTGCTGAAGTGATGGGATCAGGAGCCCCATTATTTTATTTTTTTTTTTTAAATTGCTAGCTTGGGCAAGTTTTAAGAAGTTTAATTCATAACTTMTAATTTTTTACTTTCAAAGTTTCTCAAATCATGCTCAAATCAGTGGGATATGTTTTCCTGTTTTAGTGGCTTCTGAATATCTCCATAAGTCTTTGAAGATTAGTGTGTGAAAAAGGTCCGTGGATGTGTTGCTCTCCCCAAGCTTTTCCGTTCCTTTTTGTAAAAGGAATAATTGCTTACTTTTCCTTCAAGAGGACCGTGGAAATCAATACATTAATCTATTACTTTTCCCTTTATTTTCTTTGCTCTATTGCTGCCAGCCATTTTACAGCTTGGATATGATCTCAGTGTTTCCCAGCAGCTAAACTACTGTGTGCCCTAGTTAACATTGTCAGTCAGAATAAATATTTTTCTTCCTCCCTCCTGTTTCTCTCTTCATTTAACAGTGTCCCAAATTGAGCAGACTGTCTCCTCTCAACCTTATTTATTCTCAAGGGTGAATAAAAAACTTTTCTCACTCTAGATGTAGCATATGAGTTTATCCAGGCTCTTTACCCTACTTACCATCTCCTGAGCTCTTTTCAGCAGATGAACTCATGTCCTTTTGAAGGAGGTGACTAGATTACGCTCATTATTGTGATGAAATCCCACTGTATCAGCAAGGGCTGTGCTTCTCCTTTTTAACAG